TTGAAAGTTCAGAGTCCAGCAGAATTCCCAGGTTGCGAACTGCGGGCGCAGGCATGACTAACTCGTCGCCCACGCGAACAGGGTTGGCTGAAAGCTGATGCTGGCGCCGATCAGTCGCAAACCAAATAAAGTCGGTTTTTGATGTATTGAGCTGGAGCCTGTTGGAGCGCATACAGTCTGAGACAGCTTTCATGCAGGCAGATCTTCGATACTGCAACGCTGCGGCGTTAGCCGGTGCACCGTAGTCATAAATTTGGGTGTCTTCGGCGAAAATATGCGGATTCAAACTATGTGAATCAATTATATGCAATACCGTGGCAATACGTCGACAGTATATAACAGGAAGCGGATCGGGCCGAGAACTGCTGATCCTGTGGTACGCCATAAGTGATCAAAAATGGCGTAGAAGAGTGTTCCCGCGTCAAACGCATTGGAAGCGATTGTCGAGATAGGACTAGAACCACAGCAGCACTGTGCCGCGCAGGCCGAACGATACGTCAAGTCGACGCAACAAAGTGGCGGGGTCGACCGTGTCTAACGCGGCCGCCAGGTAGAGTAAAGCTAGTGAGTGCCACATTTTCGCTGCGGTCTACTTCTCGTAGAACATCTGAAAGAACCTTCATCACAGCGGTTTCCATCGTGGAGATGACGGTATGCAGACCGGAGACGAGGCCTCAGACCGGACTGCTGAAGATGGTTTAGCTGTCTAGCCACAACGCGTTCAAAGATTTTCGACATTATTTGGGATCGTATGCGTTAAGGTCTGTTTTTTTAATAGAGGAGTAATGTAAGCTGATTCGAAGTTCTTCGGAACAACACCGTCGGTGAGGCAGCGGTTGAAAAGTTCGACCAGAAATGGTGCTAGGGTTACAACATTCCCCTCAAGTAACGACGTTGGCAGCGCTGGCATCGCTTGTTGGGCAGCGCGAGCACTTCAGCGATGACGTCGTCAGCTGTAACGCGAGTGAATTCTTGGAGCAAGCAGTCAAACGGGTACGGGGCAATTGCTGCCGGCGGAGCATCGGCTGACGTTGCTCGCTCAGCAGAAATTTTATCTTAAAAAACCGCATGGAATTCCTCCACGCTTAGGTCACCCGAAGCCTCTGTATGACCTTTTCCATGAGTTTAACAAGCGAACACCACAGCGCGCGAGGATAACTGCGTTGCGCGTCGACCCTCTGGCGCCCCCTCTTTTAGAACGAAGGTCGACATAATTGCGCCGTGCATCTTGCCAGGTGGAGGCCACATCAGCGGCAGCATCAGGATTGCCGCGTCAGTTCGCCCGGTTGACAGCCCGCTAGAGCAGTCGAATCCCCCGCTTCGAGACTGGACCATGGAACAATCATCGAACCATGGATAGGAGACTTGTTGGGATACCATAACTGTGCGTGCAGGAATCAGGTCATCGAGTGCATAGGTTATCTCGGTGTTGTAGAGTAATGCTAGGTCGTTTACTGATAGTGCCAACCATGAGTCAGAGCGACATAGTCAGGACGACTGCAGCTTTTCACGTAAGACATCGCCGTCGAGACCGCGCCACGGACGACAGGTAACAGTCGAGTACGCTGGCACCGGGCGCACACATGGCACCGTCCACTAAAGTAGTCGTGGTCGGATATTGCGATCTCGATGATGTCGACAGGCAGACATTAAAGGTCAGCACGCGTGATGACAACGTCCAGCAGTCCGCCCATGTCATGCGTCGGCAAGGTCACGTGACAAACCATGCCGAAGGTGACCAGAAGGTCGTTCAGATGACGAGCCGATAGGTCTTCGATGCGATTCAGTCGAACATTCAAATCGCCGGTGATAAGGACATAATCAGGCTAAAGTCACGGTGGAGACATCGTTCCAAGTTGACGAAAAAATCGCGCGACACAGCAACCGATCCAGGACGGTAGATGGTGACTGCAATGCCCGTAAACGAGGCACAGGTGAGGTGACCCTAGCTGGCCTAGCACATAGCAGTTCAAAAGTGATGGGTTAGGAGGCCGATGTCAAGAACGGCAAGCTGCAAGCCCCCCACTGGCGACGGTAGCTACTCCACCTTAATTCGTCGCCAGGGTGTCGGGTTGCATGCGGGGCTGCGTGCGCTCGATTACCCTGAGTCCTTCAGCGCGAAGACGCGCGATGCCAACAGAGTCAGCGTCATGCCAGGTCTCGGTCAGGAAGACATCTAGCGAGTGCGAGCGACAAGTGTGAAGAAACTCATCAACCTTGTTATTCACCTAACGGATGTTGAGGCAGCCGAACGATAACTGGCGACACGGCTGCACACAGTGGCGATTAACATGAACACTAAGCAGGTTTTGAGGACCACGGGTCGACATAGGCCAATGCTCAGCAGCAGCATTCGCAGACGTTGAGTTTGTCGCAAATGGTTTCCGCCGTAGCAACGGCCTATCGCCTGTGATAACGAACACACCGTTGTCACGCACTGCTCGATAGGTGGCAACAGGACGCCTATTTCCGTCAGCACGGCATCCACGATAAGGCATGCGAGCTTTGAGAGGCGCGAGGAATGTCGCGATGAGTTAATCTATTTTCTCAGAGACGGATGGATTAAGGGCTGCAGCAGCGGACCGCAGGCCGAGCAGTCGCTTAGTCAAGTAAGCTAACGGCACCATAGATAGCCGTTAGCTATCGGCGTTAACCGATAGATGAATCTGGCCGGCGCCAGATTCAGCTTGGGTCATATAACAGTGACGCTCATCTACAGTCAGCTCAAAGCTTAGTTTAGCGAACGCCAAACCGAATACTCACAAATTTGTCCTGCCAGTCAAAAACAAACGTCGATCGACGTAGTTTGCGTCAAGCAAGCTGCCTGAGTTTCAAGAACAGAAAAACGGTCCGGCAACAAGCCCACTACAGTAGTCTCGAGACAGTAACGGTCTTTTCGTAGTGTCGGGACAGTAACGGTCAGGTTTAAGGCACAGTCAGCTCTTCTATAGTCAGTTTGAAGCTGAAAATAGAAAACGCCGAAACGAAAAACCACAATAGATATAGTTCCCGGTAAAAAAAAAACATGCATACGTCGTCGTGGTAAATATTTTACGAGCCGGAAGTGCTTCCAATTCAAATGTAGTTGCTATATCAACACGCTTAGTCAGTTCTTGAATGCGATCATACCTTGAGTGCTAGCTGCAAATTCACCCATCGTTCAGTTAATACAAACTTGTAGCGATCTGTTAACGCCAACTAGTAGTAGACGTCTACCCCTCAAAGATATCTAATGCCCGTGCTGTCATAGACTCCTAGATAATAAAGAAGCGGCAGAGCTTGGCACCTCGGTATGGGACTAGTTAGGTACTGGTCAGGCACAGCCACTTCTACGTAAAGTGCCTTGCTGCTAGTAGTGGCTGAAGGAATCGTAGTCAACGGGCAGAGAGTGGTGGTGCCGTATGAGGAATGGCAAAAATAAGAGGGGCAGCTAGTCACAAGTTAGGCTCTAGAAGTAGGAAAAAGATCGAAATTCAATGATTTTATACGATTAATACCGTGGTCCGTCGCTTCGTAAGAAAGTTTGAAATCATCGTGCGGGAGTTAGTGCCTCCTTTCAAAGCATGAAGTTGAGTCAAATCGAGGAGAATAATCGTTCTGAGTTGCCAAGACAATTCAGACGATGCTGTCCTTGTTTCCCGGCCATCAGGTTCACTTCAGCGGCATGCGAGATGACCACGCACACACGGCTGCTCCATTCAATTTAGGCTTAGGCTCAGGATCGGTAGCGACCGTTTGAAGCATCAGTGTGGCGAAGCAGCCCCCATGAATCCAGTTGACAGATCGTGTATACACTTCACTAGTTGTGACAATAAAGAAATAGAATTATGCTCTGGAGGTGACGCACAACGCAGGCCCATTGTCAGCATGACAAGAACCATTGTCAGCATGAAGCCAGATATAGGTGCGTTCAGCACGAAGCTAGGGCGTTCAATCGTGAGCAGACTGTTTAGGGTTACAGAACAGAGCTGAGGTAAGGAGAATGCCTCACTCTACCAAGAATTCCATTAGAAAATTTAAAACGTGAGCTGCACGGTAAGACAAGCAAACCCAGCAGGCATTTGCTGGTTGAATGGACGCTGAAACAACTACCTTTTGAGACGTTGAGATCGGGGTGAAAAGATGTATTTGTGTGAAAATTGAAACAACGTCATTCACGAAACGTCATATTGACGTTACAAAGCAACGTTTAATCAATGTTTGCTGATTGAGCATTGATTTAACGTTACATTGAAACGTCAGTACGACATTTCGTGAATGACGTAACTTCAATTATCATTCCAAATCTCTTTTCACCCCGATCTAAGGGTCGTAACAGGTAATTGTTTCAACGTCGATTAAACCAGAGGATTCAACGTTGCAGCAACATTGATTAAACGTTGTATTGTAACGTCAGTACAACGTTTCTTGAATAACGTTGCTTCAATTTTCATTCTGAGCCTCTTTGAAACGCGATCTCAACGTCGTAATAGGTAGTAATTTCAACCTCGATTCAACCAGCGGGTTCCTAAATCAATCTTGACGCAAAATTAAGCTCTAAGCATTAATTAGTTCGCTATTATCTTAACATCCCCTTACTGTGTGAAGATGCAAACTGACGACTTGTCAGTTTGCATTTTATCCTCGTCGGGCGTAAACCCCAAAACCGCCTTCGCCGCTGCCAGTACATGTCCTTAGCCAACCTGCATTTTACTATCTGTGTTGTTCAGTGGTAACGCTTATACATGGTGCCCCGGTCTTGAACTGCTTATGGAATGGCCCAGTATCGCGCTCCCCACCAGCTGAATTTTGATGAACAAAAATGGGATACATGGAAGAGTTGCCTCATCACGAAAAGTTCAAGAATCGGCAACAGGCCATGGGCCTATTTCTTCAATGCCGACACTTCTATTCTATTCTATGACCTTTCGGAAAGTCATGAAGCTTGATGGCGAGGAAGACGAGATTCAGGTGCTGTGAAGTTACTACTTGGCAAAAAAAAGAAACACAAAATACGGAGAAGTTTAATTATTTAGAGGTTCGCCCCCCGCCGCCAAGGCGTTCAGGGGCATGCCTGAGAAACCTTGAGAACTCTTCGTTCAGCTTGACCTCAGTGGCTTCTTGAAAAGTTGCCATCACGACTTCTGAAAAGAGTAAATCTTTAGGATACTAAAAAAGCAGTAAGTAATTTTGGAAGAAATCCATGTGATTTTTTGGAAAAACTTCGAGACGTCAAACAAACAACGTCACGTCAGTTATGGAAAGATCGGGTTCCAAGGGCCGGGTCCCTTGTGAATCAAGTCACGAAAAGTATAAGAATCGGCAACAGGCCATGGGCCTATTTCTTCAGTGCCGACACTTCTATTCTATTCTAAAGCATGATCAAGCTGATCAAAAATGCCTATAAATAATTTTCTGTAACATTTTAATAAAAAATATGTAGCTATATTATATTATAGTAACATGCTTGAACAATTACTAGGTACGAATGACACGCTAGAGCTTCAACTATGTACAAATTACATCTTGAAGCTATAGCTAAAAATATGCGTGACGTGTGAGAAATATGAAGCTATAGACATGTTGGTGAAATGCTAGAGCTGTGTATAGGTATGTATATGACAAATAATACCTATACCTATACAGTGAGCGAGATGCTAGAATTATATAGCAAGTTATTTCAATGACATGCCAGAGCTATAACTAGGAATGTTGGTTACTGGCTAGAACTATAACTATAGGTATGAATGACATGCTACATTTATAACTATTGTTATGGATGACATGTTATAGCAATATAGCTATAGCTATAATGAGATGTTTGCTGGAGTGCCATGTAGCCAGGTTTGAGTGACAGTTTGAAGCTATTATAGGTACGTGTTACATGCTTTAACTCGTCAACCGAATTAAGGGTGTAAGGGAAGTGGGAGGAGAAATGAAGAAATTAGGAAGATTGTATCTTGAATAACGGGCAATAAATATATTCAATGGCCGGACCATGTCTCTAGACTGCCCGCCGCAAACAGTGGATAGCTGACACGGATTCACACCCATCGCCCCTATACACTCATTTGCAGGGTCATTTATTAGGAAGTTTCCTTAGAACTTACATGTGATGAACCTCGAAACAAGTGAATGATAACAAATATGGATATTTGTGGATGTGAATATATGTATGAATATCAGAATATGCAATTCATGCTTCATGAATGAACACGTAATGCTTACTTTACTTCATGATTTAGAGCACTGAATGTACAGTAAACTAATTTTATTTATTTTTAAGAACAGAATTTCGACATGATTGAAAAGTTTACCGTAATCAGTTAAGACGACATGAGTAATTCATCAATTATACTCAAGTGCACAAATTCGAAATGACCTATTTCCTCCTATAGATACCTTTAATAGCCGAGAACAAGCGAGTTCCGTTGAATGCAATTTTGTTTTTCTTCCCCTGCAAACTCATCTTGGACATTAGGGCGTTGCTCATGGTTCTGAAAACATAAAAATATAATTTGCACCAAGAGTTAGATTAGAACAAAATTTCACGTACGTGCCATAGTCGTTCAACGCAACCGTTGATTGTATACGTCCTAAACTCATCTAAAGGTCACAAGGTTATAAGGCAGTCAGTGGCCTAAAGCATAATTACTTGAAACATAACGTTGTTGGGACAACTGTAAGAGCCCGTTAACATTATATAAATATATTCATAAATGGTATGTATTATAATTAAATATAATTCGTTGATAACAGATTATAAATGCTAACTATTCAGTTAATAGTAATAAAAAACTAATCTAAATTGCGTGTACCTTGAATTAATACAAGAATGTCAGAAAACCTAATGAGTTTGTGTGAGAGCTAAATAGCTTAAAAATTTGTGCCCAATTTCCGGCGTCAGGGATACAAAATTGTGATCTTTGAGCTGGTGAAAAGCATCATTAAAAGGTCGAGGAATATTTTTTCTCGCAACAGTTCATGCACAATACAAACTGGAACGGTCGATGAGAGCTTTGATAGCAAACACAACATAATCAATAGAAATACGATATGAAAGTTACCGTTTCATTAATGTTTTTACATTATCTGCCACGTCAAGTCCACCGATCCGCTGCATTTGCTCCTTCTGAAAAGTAGAAAAACATTCAACAGGAGAAAATTATCTTTTTTGAAACGGCGCAGAAATATATATATATATTTCGGCTGTCATTCATAGCAAAATCACAACGTAGCGGGAAAATGAAGTTACATTTAAACTTAGGGGTTCCCGCTAGATGGCCTTGCGCTTCGTGGATAACTGAAACCATGGTTTTATTAATTCAACCATGACTGAAACAACCCATGCAAGTTGTATTTCAGGCCGAAAGATTATTATTGATAAAATAAATACAATTCTAAGATTTGAGTTAATTCAGAGAAATCAAACGACAAATAATGTACAAGTAGCAGAGTAAATTTCTGAATGCTTGACACAATCGAGGTAAAATTGAAGATCGGTTTTTTGACCAGCCAGACTGCGGCTACACTCGAAGATAGGTCATGCACGCACATTTAATTTGCTCTTCGGACGCTTACGGAGGAGTGCGGCGACTTTAAAACTGTGACGCACAGCGTTCAAAGATATTCCAATATGTGGCCAGCTACATCGCGAGCGAGCATCCTTGAAATCTCAGTTCAATGCAATATTGCTATACTCATTATAAAAGCACAAATAAATATGAAGATACATATATGGTTCATTCAAATCACATCAAAACTACGCAAGCAAAACAAAGTTTGGTATGAGTAAGTAAGCAATTAAACGCAGTTTATATAAAAAGCGCCTTCCTCCTGACGGTAAATTAAATTCTACATGACTGATTAGTTCTCAATTATCGAACTTAGTAATGGCGACTGTACAGAGTAGCTGCAAATAAAATTTGTAGTCTGAATTATACTCACCAACGTGTCATAGAATTCTTGGTCCGAGAGTTTATCTTCGAATTCAAGGAAACTCTCCAAAGTTTCTAGTGGTTCTTTCAGACACGGGGTTGAATTGCAGCTGTTCTTGTTGCAGCAATCATTCTTCTGCACTGCATCACGGATCTCCATGAGCAGAGTGAGAACCTTTCTCTGGAACCCTGTCAGAGTGCCCGTGAATCATCAGTTTCTAGTTAATCTTTTAACTTTGTCATTCATCATAAAACGCAATTAGAACAGAAATTAGACGCTTTAAAGTTACAATTATATTAATTTCCTCTCTTGAAATTGCGAGCTAATGGCAATCTTACTTTCTTCGGGAATAGGACGAAGAGAGCCTCGGGTTTCGGTCAGTGGCGATGTAGGCGTGACGGCGACCGTATCCATGGGAGACCCAGCCAAAGCAGGAATATGGCTGTACTTGAATTTCTTTGCAGGCCCTGGCAGCAACACTTAGGAATACAAGAACAAGAAGAAGATCATTAGAACGCAACAAATGAATAGATTTTAATTAGAACTGTTATTCTATCGATTCAGAACGATGTGTACAAACATCACCGCAACAAATGTATTAAATTTAATTTAAACTGTCAATTAAAAACACCGTGTGCAAACATTTAAACTAGATCATGTCCGTTTGAGTTCTGCACGGTATAAATTGCACTTACATGAACCAGCCTGCAGCAGCAGTCCAGACTCCTCGCTGTCACTAACCTCTGAAATAAAATTCAATTTGTGGAAATAATTTTGAAACGTAAGTCAAATATTAATTTAGAACAAAAACACACGTAAAGAGACCTAAAACACACTTCGAATTTCTGTAGCTTATTTTGTACGAAGATTATGAAGAAGCCTTTTTCGAATTAGCAGTGAACAAAATGTGAGCATGAATGAACATAAATTTCATTACGACATTGTTAACACTATTATGCTAATTTATTAAACATACGATCCGGACAACAACAAAAAATGCTTCAAATATACAGGAGATTAGTCAATGAGTCACCAAATTTGGGACATTTGAACAGGTGAAAAAAACCTAATGAAATATAAGGGTGAGGTCATGGAACTCGGGGTGAAAAAATTAATGAATTGGAGCTATTTTAGACGTGCAGTAAAAATATACAAGACCTAGCTCATATTTTGTTAACGACGTATTCTTCTTAGCCGGAGCGCAGGCAGGCTCCAGAACCTCTTCACTCTCGGCTGTTGTTTCGTCATGTTGCTCACAAGTCAGCCGACTCTCTGTTATGAAAAAAATATACAAGAGCGTCATAAATACGTTAAGAAATTTGGTTTCAACAATTTTTGCAGGAGGATGCTTTATTTGATAAGTCAATAATTGGTAAGGATGAGCATTTGCATCGAGAGAGAAGAGAGAGGGTTATACCTCTTCAGTTATAATTCACGCTGAACATACCTTTGAATGAAGAGCATTAGCTCATTTGTATTCTTTCTAATAGTTTAAAAAATAACCATACCTCAACCTGATCATTACAATCAACAGCTCTAACGATAAAATTTCGCCCTAAGCATAACGATCAACAGTACTGTTTGGAATCGTTTTGCCCAGTGTGTGCCACATGCTAAACGTAAAAAATTACATGATTTTTATCGTTTGAGCTGTTGATCGTAATGATAAGGGCGAGGTATGGTTATTTTGATACTATTAGAAAGAATACAAATGAGCTAATGCTTCTCATACAAAGAGATGTTCAGCGTGAATTATAACTGAAGGCCCATAACCCTCTCTCTTCCAGTTATCTAAAAAATAAACCCATTAATCGTTATAGCTGAAGAGCTGACAAGTGGAGCATTGAAGTCTAAAGTGTACCCTGTTTTGGTAATATATAGTGTAACCAGAGCTGGGCAGCGCTACTTTGAAATGAAGCGGCCGCTACCGCTACCGCTACATGCTCTAAATGTAGCGGCAATTGCTTGCATGTAGCGCCGCTACCGCTACTGAAAATGTAACGGCCGCTATACATGTAGCGCGCTACTGCCCACCTCTGAGTGTAACTTTCATAGGACAGAGATTATACTAGTTTAGGCAAATACAGAAATTAAGATAGAGGTGCAACTTTTAGGTATGCTGAATAAATTTGTATTTACTGTTCCTCAAAATTAAATAGTTACAATTCTAGCTTTTTCGCTATTTCTTAGCAGCGTTGCATTCCACTTTGATCAAGTAAAATGATAACCAACTGCTGCACGGTACATGCTTCTCACGGAGCAATGCTGCTGCATCACCTTTCTTAGGCCACATGACAGGGCGTCCCTCAAGCCAAGCAGTTGGTGTGGTCCCTTCCGTTTCTTTGGTCCCTTGCGTTTCTTTGGTCCCCTCCAACCGACCAGCTCGTGACCGCACGTTGGGCATCCTCTCCTGAAAATTAATGTAAATTGTATAACTAATGGTAGATTTATAATGTTATGCTGGATTGAAATTTCCTGAATGGTCATGTAAAACTAGATTAGATTTTGTTATTTAAAAATAAAAATACTCAATTCACCATTCAGTTAATCGTGTCTCTCTGTTTCGTGGAGAGGAGGAAGCAAAAGAAGTTGGCCAGCAACAAATTGTAAACAGATGACTTTGCGTTCAATATCTTCAATATTTATAGAACAGCTTGTTCCTAACCGAGAGATAGATTCTTCGCTCAAACATTCAATATTCAGGAGCATGGAGTCACAAGGATGGCTGAAGAAGTTTTGGACCCGTTTTTGACAAGTTAATTACTGTACACAAGAAAGAACTAGCATTTTTTCTCATGTTATATTAAGGCTGTCATCATCAAGGAGGATTCTCCAGCTATTAATTTACAAACTACCGGATTTGTCAGGACATTGAAACTGTTCTCGTAATTTAAGCTTTGATTTCAATCTGTATCCACTATGTTTATACTAATGTCATTTCAAAATTTCAATTTCTAGCGTTGCAAAACTCTTCCTCTTCTACTTGATAATGAATGAAGTTGCATTCGAAACGTCTTAAAATTAAAATTATAATAAAATGTCCCTTGGAAACCTGATATTTGACTTTTCAGTTCCTATCAAGAGCCTAATTCGCCGAATAGAGAGAAACAATAAGAAAATTGTCAATAAGAAATACTCACTGGATTTCAACGAAATCTTTCTCAATTGCAAACAGCGGTAGAATTAATAAATTTAGACCATGATCAACCAAGCTGAAAATATATTTGTTGAGTTATGATATATTTATGAAAAAATATATTTGTACGAATTAAATTTAAGAGATCTTCAGAAATATGTAGAAATTTTATAAAAAAGTAATGATTTTCATCCTGCACTTTTACCATAACCAAATACAATTCCTTACGTTTAAACATTAAAAAAAAAAAACAAGTTGCTTTAGTATCTTGAATACCTGACATTTTCAATGTCTATACAGCTGCACAACATCAAAACGCGACCTCTCCCACAATCTGCTTCAGACAATCTCTGGAATAGTATTATTGACTTTTATTTTAATATTTAATGAAATTTAAATACAATCGATAACTTACACAAATGTCTGTATTAGTGAAAACGAGTGTGATGAAAAATTTTGTACCTGCAAGCTTGCACATCTTTGCAAATCGACTGGCAAACTAACACAATTAACAGCAGGATCGCAAGGGCCGCCACAGGTATGGCTAAATTAACCCAGCGTGTTCGGAACAACTCGAGCCTCACCGTGAAGACTGAGCTGTGCGACTACAAAGCTAGCGTCCTCGGCCCTTTTCTGTGTGGTTGCGAGACATGGACCACCTACGCGGGACATGAAAGGAAACTCAAAGGCTTCCAGATGAGGTGACTTCGGAGCATACTGCAGATCAGATGGCAGGACAGAGTACCCAATTCTGTGGTGCTAGAGCGATCAAATATGATCAGTCTGCTCTCAGTTCTAAATGAGAGACGTCTCGATAGGGTGACTAGGACATGTCAGTAGGATGGTCGCAGGCCGCATGCCCTCTTCAACGTGGATGGCCGACGAAAAACGGGACACCCGAAATTACGCGTCTGGGACATCTTCTTGATGTCCCCGATGGGACATCTTCGGGACACCCGAAATTACGCGTCTGGGACGGACTTGAGCAGCTGCCCGCTGGGGCTGGAGACTTCTTGCGCTGAGGTCGAGCGCCGCTTATTTAGCGACTCTCGGAGGAGGTCCAGACGGAGACATCGGTCGACGCAACAGTTACAGCCGTCCGCCTTCACTTGTGATGGGTGCGGATTGGAATATCAAGCCAGGGTCGATCGGTACTCTATACAGCCATTCGCGGCGATGCAGGCTGAGTCGATAGCTAGATCCTTTGTCGCTCGTGACAGGCGGATGCCGAGGATGATCAAAGAACCGCATGGGCATTGCCCGCATTGGTAATCTTTTCATTAATATAGTAGAAATTATGTATTATTTTTTCACTTTGCATTATTCTCTAGAGCTGTGTGGCTTATACGCTTAGAAATACGCTTTAGAAATTTAAAGAATACGCTGTGTGGCTTATACGCTTAAAAATATGGCAATGGATATCTGTAACTTTTGATTTTGTAGAGCTTTATGATAGATTTCTTTGGATGCAATGGTGAAGTGTGGTTTGCACACTGGAGATATTCCATGATTTTGCTTGATTGGCGATTATTCGTGTATTTTAAAATGTACATTTATAGCGTGTTTTGAGTATTAACTGTCTTTAGCTTAAAGAAATATTTTGTATGAATTAAAAATTATTATAGTAGCATCGGCGTTGAAGGAGGCAGTTATAGGATGTTTTCAGTCGCATTGCTTACATTGTATAATGCTTCTATGTTATGAAACTGTTTATATTTTACAAGCTTTGCTTTATATTTTACATAGACTTGCTTTTACTGCAATTTTAAATCAACGTGAAACTCGTTTTGCTACATACCTCTACCTTAATTTAGACGTAATTCTGAAGGTCATTCACATTTTAATTCAGAATTATTATATGATCCGACAACTATAAAAAACCATCTGTAGTAAAGAAAAATCGACCCAAGATACTTGTTTCGGACCCTTTGAATAAAAGCACAAAGTTAAAAGTTTCGCCTCGGAAATGAACGACTTAAAAGTCACTTTCTCTTGAGAGTCAAAGCTTTTCAAACGATGGAAATCACTGGTATACCTTTACAACAA